TCTACCGCTGAGCCACAACTCCAGCCCTGAAATTAATGTTTTAATAAATCTTCAGAAAATCTGTTTCCAAAGAAACATTGGCCTTTAAAAAAAAAAAAAAAAACTAAGTTAAATAAAGTGAAGAATTTCTATAGCAGGGTTTTTAACATTCTAAAACCTCACATATTTGAGTTTATTTTGTAATTCTGTAATTTTGAAGAAAAAAGTGATGACTGAGAGTTACTGTCATGCTTCCTAATGAAACTTCTTATTCCTGTGTCAAAGGAATCATTGGTTTCCTGACTTTGAACCCACTTGTGTCGGCATTACTAGTAATAATTTGCTTGATGCTTTGGCTGGTTTTAAGTTACAACAGGCATCTGATATATTGATTCCTAAAGTCAAGCACCCCTGTTGACAAAAGCTTATCAACTTGTAAGAGCTCACCTATTTTGAGATTTGTTTTTGATGTCAAGTAGTTGAAACTATTTCAAAAGATATAATTGAATATCTGTAGTATTTGTATTGTTTTGTTTTTGAAAGAGAATTTTGTACATAGGAAGACTACATTTGCTGAGGAGTTTTATACTTACTTTCCTTGTAAGATTAAAGAACACAAATACTACTACTTTAGGGTAGGAGATTAAAAAAATGCCTCTGTTAAGAAGTAGTTGAAGAAAAGCCTCAGCAAATCACTATAGTGTTACATGAATAGAAGCACCCTGTATTTAAACTCCCTGACAGAATTGTAAGAAATGGCCTCTGAACATACTTTAGAATAATGAGTTTCTCCCCCAAAGATTGAGAAATGTAATAGTTAGGATAATGATTTAAATTTTGTTTTTTAATTAGTGAAATACATTTAACTTTGTAGAAAAACTAAGCCACTAAATTTCCATTAAATATTTTGAGCTTATGGATATGTTTCAATGTAATTATAGACCAAGAAGTTGAGAAATTATTCAAGGTACTGTTAAACAAACTTATTTTAGCAGTGCAATTTGCAAAAGACAGGATGTTGAAGTCAATATTTGGTATTTTTGAAGATCTTTTATTTGCCATGCATTGTGATAAATACTGGGGAAATAAACCTAAGCGGTATCCCTGCTTTTTTTTTTTTTAAGAGAGGAGAGAGAGAGAGAGAGAATTTTTAAATATTTATTTATTTTAATTCTCGGCGGACACAACATCTTTGTTTGTATGTGGTGCTGAGGTTCGAACCCGGGCCGCACGCACTCCAGACAAGCGCGCTACCGCTTGAGCCACATCCCCAGCCCTATCCCTGTTCTTAAGGAGTATGGAAAGCAGTCTGTATTTATTATTTCTGCATTCCACATGAACTACTTATTCATTCTTCTGACTTCCAGCCCATTTATTCTAGGTAATAATCTCACATTATACCTTACAGAGAAAATAGATGCTAATAGTCTTGAAAAAATATCCTCAAGTTATACAGCTTCACACCTGTGTCTATATATATATATATATATATATATTCTTGATATTTTCTACTTTCAAGTACCCACCCAGGCTTGTGCTTCTGGATCCCAGACTTTAGTAATCTTACACAATTAATAATTTCTTCTAATAACTTCAGTGTCTTTAACTTCTCCCTTTCTTAGTGATTCCTGTCAGCATTTAAATGTTTGCTTCCACCTTAAAAAATTTTTTTTCTATTTTTCCTCCCCTTCTGGTACTGGGAGTTGAACCCCAGGGCACTTTACCACCAAGCTAAATCACCAGTCCTTCTTATTTTTTTTTTATTTTGAGGTTACATCTCACTAAGTGTTGGAGGCTTTCTGGAGCTTGCCATCTTTTTGCCTCAGCCTCCCAAGTCATTGCTATTATAAATGTGCTTCACTACATCCAGCTGTAAAAACCAATTCTGTTTCTCCCTCTTTTCTTTTATAGCTAAATTTTCCAAAAGATTGTCTATTTTATCTATTAATTAGTCATATTCTATTCATAACCCTGGCCATTTCTTACTCCTTCCTTTTGCCCCACTGATCTACCAGAATCACTCTTAAGATTACTAGTGACTTTAAAATGAAAGTAATGTGCATTTTTAGACCTCATCTTGAATTTAGGCACAAATTGTGACAAAGTAGATTACGTTTTCCCTGAAAGCTTTTTCTTTTTCTAACTCATTAAATGCTAAGATTTTTCAATATATTTGGTCAGAGTTTCTTTCATGGTTTTATCTATTTGTTTCTCAGTTTTACTTCCCATCTGTATTCTGACAACTCAAAAGATTTTTTTTTCTCTTTTTAGTACTGGGGCTTGAACCCAGGGGTGCTTAACCAGAGCCATCTCTCTAGCCTAGCCCTTTTTATTTTTTATTTTGAGACAGGGTCTTGCCAAGTTGCTTAGGGACTCACTAAGTTGCTGAGGCTGCCTTTGAACCTGCGGTGGTCCTTCTGCCTCATCTTCCCTAGCCACTGGGATTACAGGTGCCTGGCAGACTTTTGATTTCCAGCTTAAGCACCAGATCTTCAGTTTTATTTTATTTAGCAGTACTTGGGTTGACCCAGGCTGTACTCTGAGTTAACTCCCAGCCTTTTTGTTTTGTTTTGAGTCGGGGTCTAAGATGCCCAGGCTGTCCTTAAAGTTAGGATTCCCCTGCCTCGGCCTTCTGAGGCATAGGAACTATTGACATGTACTGTTCTCAACCTTTAGTAACTATTAGAATCAGACTGTGTATTTAAGATTGCTGGGCCTCACCTCTAAAGTATGTGATTTTAGTAGGTCTAGAATGGGGCCTAAATTATAAATTGTACTTCCAGCAGATTTCTGATGATGCTGATTTAGAGACTTTGAGAACCACTGAGTTAGAGAAATGAGTTCTTTCACAGTTGGGATTCAATCCCAGGCTTACCCCTTTAATTCACCACCCTTATCCCAAACATAATTCCACTTTGTAGGTATGTCAGATTTTAATATGTTCATGGTAAACATTGATTATCTTCCCCTCCCCCTCCTAGGTTTCCTTGGCTACCATTGGTATATACTCGAAATTTCCCTGGAACTGACCTCTCACCCCAATATTCAGTCTGCTGCCAAGCCCAGTATTACCTACACAAGTGTCAAATTCATCCACTTTTTTCCTTTACCATTCTCATCTCTCACCTGGGTTGCTAAAATAGCTTTCTTACTGATCTCCTTTTAATGTATTTGCCCTCCTTTAATTTGTAGCAAGTCATATCACATGCACTGTGTGTGTTGTGTGTTGCCAGAGGATCCAAACTATGATCTCCTATGTGCTAGGCAAGCACTGTACCACTGAGTTATACTCCCCACCCCTGCAATGCTTGGGTTGACCCAAGCTGTACTCTACCACTGAATTAACTCCCAACCCTTTTGTTTTGAGACAGGGTCTAAGATGCCCATGCTGTCTTTAAACTTATGTTCTCCTGCCTCAGCCTTCTGAGGCATAGGAACTATGGACATATGCTGTTAACTCATTTTTTTAAGGCAAATGAGTTAACTTCCTATTTAAAAATTTTTTAAAATGCTTACCGAAGACTGTAAGGATCTATACAATCAGTTACACACGCTTGACCATCATTTTATGCTTTTTTTTTTTTTTTTACAATCATGCAATCCTACTAACCTCTCAGTATTTCAGAATGAAATTTGGTGATTTTGGACTTAATAATTATACACTAGAACCATTGCTGTGTAGTGTTTCATTGTAAGAATATACAGTAATTTATTTGCCCACTGTAAATATTTTTGAATAAGTATCTACTTAGGTAAGAGGTTTTTCAAATATTTGTTTCATTGTTTAAACTTGTGTACAGACCATCAAGGATGGTTGATAACAAAGATAAATGAATCTTTATTGGGAAGTATAGGGGAGATCATTCACAGGGACATTTTAAAAATAGAGGAGAGTTTGGGACAGTTGGTATGATGCTAGAGCAGAATCAGAAAACTATATTAATCCACACTAAAAAGTCTGAAGTTCATCCTAAAATCTCTGGTGAGCCATCAAAAATGTTTAAAGACTTGTTTTAGAACAAGAAATATTAGGAAATTAGAAGAAGTGTGAACATTTATAATTTGGAAGAAAGGAAGCCAGAAACTCATTTCACTAGTTGACTATTCCAGCAAAGTACTGAAGGTAGTGGAATTGAACAGATTTGCAGGAAATTTCGTAGATTTGCAACCAGAAGTATTCATTTCATTAACATCCCTTTTTTTCCTTTACAATCCTATAACAAATCCTTTCCATGTATTAAGATTAGTTCTTAAGAATACTTCTTTTCTGAAGTCATTATCTACCATTCTAGCTTTAATTTACCTCTTCCACTTTTGAACCATTAGAGAAACACCAGTCTGTCTTCATATTTTTTACTTCTTGGTATAAGCAATAACAGGTATCTTTTTGGATGTCAGGCACTATTATAATAATATTTGGCTTGCATTATTATCCAGTTAAATTCCTATATCAAATTTATGATACAGTGGATTTAAATGAGGAAACTGAGGCAAGTGGTCAGGTAGGCAGTAACAGGATTGGCACCTAATTGACCTCGACTCTGAAGCTATTCCTAACCAGTATTCTGTACTTACTGTTTGCGTGTTCTTGTGGTTGAGAACCATGTCTAAATCTTAAAAATTATCAGTTCATAAATTATTCAGGTATATTATTCTATCTCCTCATTCATATTGAGTAATATTTAATTAAATTTAGTACATCTAACATGATTTTTCACATAGTTTTCCAAGTACTTTAAGTAAAAAATATCAGGAACATGTTAGCATTTGTTGAACAAGTAATTTGGAGAGCATTTAGAAAGACAGCAATAAGAAATGAACAGTTCTCGCTGTCCTGGAACTTATCTTTGTTTTCTTCCGATTTGTCTTCTGTGCCTTATTGTGTTCAGTACATAGTACATAACCAATACTTGCAGATGATCCTTTTATTTAGTCTGCATAAAAATCAATACTAAGAAAGTGGTATTTTGGATAGAGGCTGTGGTGTGACTTGTCAGTAATATCCTACATGTTATTTTCAGATTTGGATGGTGCTCTACTCTCAGGGCCTGATGGTGATAGGAATATGAATGCAAATTTATTGGCTGAAGCCTGCTCTGGTCAAGATGGAGGTGATGCTGGTAGGTACAGTTAAATTTTTAGCAAGAGTGCATTTAGGAGGGTTTGGGAAGTATTTGTATTTGTGTTTACTGGGGTCTACTACAGTTTCTTTCCCCTAAGTGTAAAATTACTTTCAGTCTGTGGTAATATTGCTTATGAGGACTTTGGAAATTTGGTAATACAAATTGATGTTTCTGGTTTTGTTTGGGGGGCTCATTTAGAGTTTTTAAAACGCAAATATCAAAGAAAATATGGTTTCCTGCTAGTGAATAAATGGAATAATAATTACCAGACTGGTACTCTAATGTATTTTAATTCTTTTTGATGCAAATATAATAGTATGATTGTTGATGGTTATAGAAAATGTTGATTAATTCTAAGTAGCAATATTTGTATTGGGAATACTTGGGATACTTAATGCATACAAAGATTCCATGATTATGTGACTAGTAAAATAGAGTTAAAATAAATGGGTTTCTCTGTTAACTAATAAAGTTAGTAGAAGAATGATCGAATTAGAGAAATACTTGTTTATTGATTCCAGTAGAAATGATTTAAGATCATCAGTGGATGTTAAGCCACTATTAATGGGCTTGTCCCACTATGATTGGGTGAAAGATTGTTAGGAAACAACATATTCACATCATCTCAAACTCATCCCACATATTTCTTCTAATTTCAAAGGAGAAGAGCTATCTTTAGAGAGATCCAGGGAACAAAATAATAAAAGCAATTATTAAAACTTAGTATTGTTAACAATGGAACAAACAAATTGAGCTGATGCATTGCACTAGCTGTCACACAACATAACCAGTGTAGTAGTCTTGAAATGTATTTATCCTGAATATAATTGTGAAGGAAATAGTCAGAAAAATCTAAGTAAATCCAGCCACATAGCAGGTGGTCCAAACTCTTATCATGTCATGAAATACAAGCTGAGGAACCATTAGATTAAAGGAGACCAGCTAAATATGCAGTATGTGTCTTGGATAGATTAGGATCAAATAGGATTTAAAGGGGATGGCATTTGGGGAACAGTTGGAAATGTGGGCTATGTGGTATGTGTTAACAATATTCAGTTTTAAATTTCTTGGATGTGCTATGGTTTTGTAGGGGAATAGTCTAAAGTATAATCCTGTATTTAGGCTTAAAGTATGTTTTCATGAGCTTTTTGACCACTGAGACTAAAAATCCTGAAAACAATAATTTTGGAGGAAGAAACATTTATTTGGGTCTCTCAGATTCAGAGATCTCAGTTGATAGATAGCCAACTTTACCCTTTGAGGTCTAAGGTGAGGCAGAACATTGTGGTGGAGGTGTATGGTGGAGGAAAGCAGCTGGGAGCCTGGCACCAGGAAGCAGAGAGAAACTTCTTTCATCAAGGACAAAATATATACCCCAAAGGAATACCCCAATGCCTTACCTCCTCCATCCACACCCTGTCTGCCTACATTTACCCCCATTTAGTCTGTATCAGGGGATTAATGCACTGGTTAGGTTAAAACTCTCATATAACCCAGTCATTTCACCTCTAAACTTTCTTGCATTGTCTCACATGTGACCTTTTGGTGGGAGGACACCTTATCTAAACCATAACAAAGTACAAGTTTTAAAAGTGTATAAAAATGTCTGTATACACACAAAAAACATGGCAAAGTTAAAATTATTAAAGGTGTAAAGGGTTATGGATATTTAATTATTCAACTTTAATTATTCAACTTCTGTATCTTTGGAATCCCTTAAGTATTTTAAAAGTTTTGAAATTAGTAATATGGGAGTTAGTGATATTACTTTTTTTAAGATTTTCTTTACTTGTATAGACAATAGTTAATATTTATCAAGAGTATTTTATTGCACTTGCTTTCTTGATTCAGAATTCTAAAAAGCTAAGATTTCTGATAGTAGTTTTCCAGGTATTTTGGAGGAGTCAAAAATGCTAAATATATTAACTTTTCAACAAATAATTGGAGAGCATATATCTTGCACATTAGATATATAAAGGAGAGAAAAACTTCCTGGAGCCCCAATTTTATTTAGAAACATGGAACTTAAAATTGATAGATTGTGCTCTCACTGCCGCCTCACTTCAAAATTCTGAAAACTTTTTCCCTAATAGTAGTACATTAAAGTTAAATTATATATAATTATAGTTTCAGAGGCCTTTTTTTTAAAAAAAAATTTCCCCTCATAACCTCACTGCCTTTGTAGCTTAAAAGGGAGCATATGCTTGTGTCATCTGTGGCCTCAATGCAGCTCAGAAATGGGGCCTTTCTTTTTCCATATTTTTTAATTGGTTGGTTATAATTATTTAAGGGTGGGATTTATTGTTGCACATTCATATATGCTGTAATTTGACCAGTATCGTTTCCCAATATTTTCTCTTTCCCTCCCTCTTGTTCTTTTCCTCCGATCTCTTAGAGATCTTTCTTTCTTTTTTATATTTTTAGTTGTAGACACAATACCTTTATTTATATTTAGTTGTAGACAAAATACCTTTATTTTATTTTTTTAATGTGGTGCTAAGGTTTGAACCCAGTATCTTAAAAATGTGAGGCAAGTAAGTGTTCCCCTTGGAGGGCTTTCTTTTTAATTTTTTTTAGTAGTTGGTAGACCTTTATTTTATTTATTTATACACAGTGCTGGAAATCTAACCCAGTGCCTCACACATGCAAGGCAAGTGCACTACCACTGAACCACAGCCCCAGACCCCCTGGAGGGCTTTCTTGACATCAAAAAATGGGTGAAATAGGGGCCAGGGTTGTGACTCAGCAGTAGAGCACTTGCTTCGCACATGTGAGGCACTAGGTTTTCTCCTCAGCACCACATAAAAATAAAGAAACAAAATAAAGGTATTGTGTTCATCTACAACTAAAAAATATATTTTAAAAAAGTGGGTGAACCATATCCCAAGGAAAGAAACATTTGGTAGTAACGAAGTATATTTAACAATATTTTAGAGACCTTTTTACTTCTTTTGGTATTGATTGTTTCACCAAAGAGACATTTTAAGAAAGGTGACGTGTCTGGTTATAATATGGTAGCATTTCTTTCTTTCTTTCTTCTTTTTTTTTAAACCAAAACCATGTGGCATTCATTATAGAAAATTTTATTGCATATTGAATATCCCTTAAACTGAATGATTGGGATCAATGTTTAAGATGTTGGAGTTTTTGAGTATTTGCTTAGACTTTACTGGTTAACAACTTTAATCTGAAAATCCAAAGTGCTCCCAAATCTGAAACTTTTGAGCATTATGTTGGTGCTCAAGATTTTGGGTTTGGGAACATTTCTGATGGGACAGGTTTTCAGATTAGGGATACTCAACCTGTGTTGCTGCATGAATGAGCTATGCATATATATATCTTAGAAGATGAAAGTGTAAGTGCCTTAAGTAGGAGCCTGTTTGCCATGGAGGAACACTGAGGCTGGTATGGTTGAAATGGAGTGATAAAGGGCATGGTGCAGGGATAAGACTTTGAAGAATAGTGGAGGTCTTTTTTTTAACATGAATTGAGGTGTGTAGCCCTTGAAGGCTTTTGAGTAGACTGGTGACAGGTTTTAAAAGAATCTGTGATTACCAGGCAGAGTAAACTCTCTGGAATGGTAATAGTGGAAGCCAGGAGACAAGTTGGCAGTCATTGAAAATAACCCCAGACAAATAAAATTTATTAAAAAAAGAAAATAACTCCAGAGGCTAGAATTGATGGTTGATTGGACCTGAGTGGCAATAACTGGAGGATTCTGGATATATTTCTGTTGTTCAAAGATTCTTGGATTCAAGGAGTTACATACAAATTCCTGATGGAATTAAATCTAGAAGAAGGTAATTCCTGCCTGTGTTAATCCATTTTCTGTTCCTATAACAAAGCACCAGAGATTGGGGTATTTTATAAAGAAAAGATTTAGTTAGCTCACAGTTCTGGGGACTTGGGTATTTTTATTCAGCTAGTTTATATTAAGATGTTCTATCACTGTTCATAGGCTATAGATTGTATTTCGTTTTCTGACTGATGAAAGAGATCTTTACTGCCATCATTACTTCAAGCTCACTTTTCTATTGTATTAGGTACTTCACATGATTTCAAGTATGGTTTGATGCCTGGTCCATCAAGTGATTTCAAGTATGGATTAATACCAGGTACTTCAAATGATTTCAAGTATGGATTGCTACCAGGTGCTTCAAATGATTTCAAGTATGGATTATTGCCAGAATCGTGGCCAAAACAAGAAACTTGGGAAAATGGCAAGTATTGGTCAATCAAACAAATTCAGAATTCCTAAAGAATTTTTTTTTTAAAGAGAGAGTGAGAGAGGAGAGAGAGAGAGAGAGAGAGAGAGAGAATTTTTAATATTTATTCTTTAGTTCTCGGCAGACACAACATCTTTGTTGGTATGTGGTGCTGAGGATCGAACCTGGGCCGCACGCACGCCAGGCGAGCGCGCTACCGCTGAGCCACATCCCCAGCCCCCTAAAGAATTTTTAAACATTAAAATCTCCCATATTCTAGGCTTTAGCAATAGCCCTATATCATTTACTGTTTTAGAGATACAGATAGAAGAAATTTTGATAGCAAGTCTTCTGTTTAATAATATATAATGAGTGCTCTTTAAATTTTTTTTCTTAATTCTTAAAGGTGAATCATCTCTAATCATGAACAAATTAAAATGCCCTCATTGTAGCTATGTAGCCAAATACAGACGAACACTAAAAAGGCACTTGCTCATTCATACGGGAGTGAGATCATTTAGCTGTGATATTTGTGGAAAGCTGTTTACACGGAGAGAACATGTAAAAAGACATTCCCTGGTAAGTAACTTTAATACAACTGATCTTTGAGATAAAATATAGTTACGTCAGTGATGTATTTTAACAGTTACTTACAAATTTAAGGATGATTCTTAAATCATTTCTTTCTTTAAAGCAATTTATGTGAACTGATGCTCATCTTCATACAGAAAAACATTGGTATATTCACTCATTGTTAAATGCATGATTTGAGTGGTTCAAATGCTTTCTGTTTCTATACTATCCTTATATTGGATTTTTCCCCCCCTTTAATTAGGTGCATAAAAAGGATAAAAAATACAAATGTATGGTGTGTAAGAAGATCTTCATGTTAGCAGCCAGTGTTGGAATAAGACATGGATCTCGACGCTATGGTGTTTGTGTAGACTGTGCAGATAAATCACAACCAGGAGGGCAAGAAGGTGTAGATCAGGGGCAGGATACAGAATTCCCTCGGGATGAAGAGTATGAGGAGAATGAAGTAGGAGAAGCTGATGAAGAGCTGGTTGATGATGGAGAAGATCAGAATGATCCATCTAGATGGGATGAATCAGGAGATGTCTGTATGTCTCTGGATAATTAACTGACCTGCTACTATACTCCTCAAGGATGCTGCATTTGGACATAATATGAATCGACAATTTGGATTGTTGAACTTGAAGGCTTGCAAAATATGGTACATGCTGGATGGTAGTTATGTTGCTGTGAAAACTGTAGGGTCAAAGCCTTATAGCAAAAAAAAAAAAAAAATTATATTTGCACAGGACTATACAGCAAACAACCATGTGGTTGGATTACATGGAGTCCCCACATATTCAGTTAACAAAGTAAAATATTTTTTATTTATAGGATATACAGTAACTATTTGGGTACTATGAAAATATAGTACCTATCCTTAATAGAGCTTACATTCATGTGCCACTTTAACATGAGTGAAGAAAATCCATTTATGGAAGTACAGTGACAGTTGACCCAATCACTTTGTCCATCAAACCACTCAGGCTAGTTTGTACTAGTAGAGTTTTGTTTCTATTTTTATTTTTATTAATTTTATTTTTTTTAATACAGATTTTCAGTGAGGGGCTTTTTCAACCCCAATGGTTCTATTTTCTTGTATTTTTCCATTTTAATTTGCTTCATAACTTAAACCAAGTCTCTTCTAGTCTTAGGTATTTCTCAATTTTGTGCTGATGGGCATGTTTATAAGAACTGGAGAGGTAATTTATTGGAATGAACTAACTGACTTCCCCCAACCCTTCTTTCCTTTTTTTGACATGAATTTTACTACTTCACAAATGAAGAATGATGTTGCAGAGTTACCATGGTGAAGTTGACAAATACCACTAAAATGATTATGATTTATAAGTAACTTTCTCCTGCTGCTCTAATCTGATAAATGGTTACTATATGACGTTTTCTGACATGGTATTTGGTTTTGGGTATCTGTTACTTTGGCACTATTCTTGTTTGCCTCTTATTATTTTTGCCAGTGTACTATACCTCAGCCTTATTTGAAAGACAGAAATCTGATCAAAAAAAGTCATAGAAACAATAAGTAAAATGATTTGTTTTATAATTTATCCTCCATGTCCAGTTTGGTTAGCTTGTTATGCAATATAAGTGAAATATCAGGTTTTTACTCCTGTGCCCTCTTTATCATTAAAATTAACGCAAAATGTTCATTCTCTTTTGTTTCATACTTACCGGATATTGAGTGTTTCGAAATTATGGTTAATTTATTTTTCCATTCTTCAAAGTCACCTTGAATATAGTCTTACTAGTCACCATGATTCAACAATCTACAAATGTCTTTATTAAGTTCTTTAGGGTACAAAGGAGGTGATATATTAAGTTGTAATTATTAGATATTTAGCCTGGTGATGAATGAATTGCTATATGTGGAAGTCTCAGAAACATTTCACCTATTATTAATGTGGACATTTATCAGGAGCATAATATATAAGATTGAGGGACATCATTTTCAGCTTTCTTTTAAATAAAAATTGAGTATATTTTCCTATTTTATATCAGGTAACTAAATTATGTTAGCTGTGTGAAAATTTTTGCAAAGATGCTTTGACAGATAAATTCTTTTGGTGCTCCATCTAATCAAAGTTGAAAAATTGATTTTTTTTTTAAGAGACAAACTTTCTCATTGTCTCTGATTTCAGTAGAATAATGGTTTAATGTTAGTGATGTTTCTGCTTGGGTAAATCAGAAATAAAAGGTTAGTTACATGGTAACTAACTTTTTGTCATCTAAACTTTATTATAGTTTCTACATAATTATAAGCCTGACAGATGAACAGTTTTGGTTTGATTTTTTTTGTTTGTTTAAAACTGAAGAGTACATCTTATTCTCAGTGTTCTAGACAAATAAGTAAAATGTAATTCTAGTGAGGTCCAAAGTAGAAATTAGTTGGGCAAAGATACTATGAATGAAAAAGTATTTTAAGCGTAAAATGTTCTGCTTTGTGAATAATGTAAGTATAGTATAAAGATTTCTTTCATCCCATTTATCCCCTTCCTTTAAAATAAACCATAGTTTACAATTGGTAGATCTGTCTATATATAAATATATATTAAAGAGCAAAGATATATATCTAAAAATCACCTAAGTCTGCTTTATTAGACTATAGTTCACTTATTGCATAGAAACTGGACTTGGCTTTACATTCTTAATGTACTTTTACTTTTCCTCAAGATATGAACTTATTCTCTTGAAACTGAATTTTCTTTTATTACTTAAATCATTTATGTATATCTGGTAAATTATGACCAAATTTTTTGTTAGATTGCATACAGTAAATTGAAATACATATGTGGTACACTACGGGATTGTTGTGCATTTGTTTTGGTTTTAGTTGGAAACAAGGTTTGATGTAGATGGTTTGTTAATGTTAATTTAAAATATTCTAATTGTCCATTTCCTTCAATGTTGTGTTGTGACAGATTTGGCTATATTTTTAGTCATCTGAAATATGATACTTTAAAAGTTTGTTTTTAGGTAATCCAAAGGAAAAATGTTTATACTCTTGAATATATTAGCCTCAGCCTATATAAAAATTTCTTTGAAGTAAACATTTTACCAGAAACAGAATTGACAGATTTTTCTACTTGCCGTCTGCCTAACTTATTATGTTTCATGATCTCGAGGGACTGCCTTTTTCCCTTCTAGATCTTTTTTAAAAAATAGTTTTAGTACTAAGGTATACTACTGGACGTTTCTATTTTTTTAAGTATATTCTTTTTCTGACTTACAGTACAACAATTTCAGGAAGTTAATAGATACTAAGAACTTATGATTGGTCTTGAGGTAACAATGAAATGAGTACTCATAATTTTGTCTAGAACTCTGGCAGAATTATATGTTAAACATTTGGTGAAGTTTTCTCGTAATTTATATTTTAAATAAAAAATATTTTAGAGCTTTTAATTTTAATGAAGGGGAAGAGTTTAAACTTTCATATTTACTTTAGTAACAGGCCCTCTCAAGTCAGGATCTTATATTTCTTAGGATTCTGAGACAGTTACTTCCATATGGTCTCCTCTTTGTCATGGTTCTTGGCCCTTGTTTTTTTTTTTTTTTTTTTTAAATTCACTAGATAATTTTCTGAATTTTAGTAAGCAATTGAGAGTTTAAAAAAGAAACATAGTAGGAAGAGGAAACTGGACAGTAAAGGAGTATCTTTGAAATTTGTGATAGAGGGAGCTCTAGCTGGTCAAAGTTGAGTCATCCTAATGGAGAATAGTGAGCTGAATGAGTTAATTCATTTAAAGTTTTTAGAACACTGGAACTTACTAGTACATAATACATTTCAGTTTAACAATAGATGTGAACCAAGAGGAAAAATAGAAATAAAAGATGGTAGAAAGGAGGAAAATAAAGGATTAGGATTTGGAAATTCATTAGTATGATTTAGTATAAAAGGCCTGAAGATGACTGGAGTAGTATAATACGGGGGATGGTGTGATGAAAAATAGATTTTAAAAACAAATCTTAAAATTTAAAGCTTTAATAAGCTTTTGTTTGTAGGGTTTTGTGAACATAGCATGAAAGGTTTAAATTCATTTTTCTGAATAAGATTCCAAAAGCTACCAGTTTCTTTTGAGTGCCCACACTTGCCATTGTTCTGTATACATTATTTTGTGTAATCCCTATAAAGTAGGTGCTATTGTCTCCATTTTATAGATAAGGAAAGGCTCAGAAATTCAGAAATTTAATGCAGCTATAATAAGAGCTGGGATTTGATCAGGTCTGATTCTGAAGCCCAAGCTCTTTCTGGAAGGCTCTATTGCTGCCTCATTAAACAACTTTTTTGTAGAATTCTAGCTCTTTAATGGAGTCTATGGAGATTTATATTTTCCCTACAAAATAGCTATGTTAGGAATTTTGTGAGTATCCCTCCTCCCGCCAATAAGCATCCTTACTACTCTTTCCTCCTGATAAAGCAATTGTTTAGTCACTTTGACTTAAATAAGACACACAACCTCAGTGTAGCATATATTATTAGTGGGCTGTGGCATTTTCATTTTTAAAAGAATGATTTTTAATCTGACGAACTAGATTTGAGCCCCAGTTTTTGTGCCGTTCAGTCACCCGGATCCTTAAACTTAACTATGGTACATAATATACACACTTAGAACTACAAACAGGCATTTTCTTAGTCACTTTAGGATAAAGTTTTTTGTTTTCCTGCTGTATCCCTGCGTTCAAGTGAAGTTGAACAATCCTAAGTAGTATGAAATGTGTTAGGGATAAGCACACGTAAAGATGTTTTCTAGCCCTAAATTTTATGACATTGTGTACTTAAAGTTAGAGTACACTAGCCAGTGAGAACAAGATTCTGGGTTGAGGAGAGAGATGGTTGAGGCCATTATCAAATGGGAGAATCAGCATTTTAAACACTGTAAACATAGAACACTTTCTTCTGCCTGCTGTTTGTAAAAGCTCTCTGGGAAGATCTTTTACGAAGACCAATTTTTTAAAAATGTAATTTACCTACCTAATATAAGTGTCCTAAGACATGTATGTAACTTCCAAGACTGTTTTGTTTGTGTATTTAGAAAATACACAAGAATCTTTATCAAACCTAAAAATATAAACTTGTGAGCACTAAACTGCATCTGGCTTTGTGAATTTTATTGACTCTGGCATTTAATTCCAATTTCTTTGTATAAATTTAGACTAATTGGGTCAAGGGGAACACTTTCGGAAACTTTGACTTATGTGTAATTTGGAAATCTCTTGTTTTTAAGTTTTACAAATTTGAATTGTAGAATATTATGAGGGGTTTATTTATTTGTATGTTTTTATATGAAAGTACATAAATGACTCAAACTACCTCCTAGTCCTCAGAGAGTTGCTTTAATTAATTAATAGCAGTTATTTGTGTATTAAGTATATGTCTCATCTTTATTTAAGAACTAGCTACAGGTTTTAGTAAATATCTAAAAAATATAATTACCTTATAATTACATTTGTTCATAAACTTGGGGGAAATGGGTTAAAAAGCAAAAATGAGCTGCTTTATTCCATATTTACTGAATATTGGACCAATGGATTACAAGTAAATATATAATATAAATATCAAGCCTTTAAAACATTGTTAATGTAGAGAGAATATACTTAAATAATTTTCTTAGTTTTTTTAATAGCAGAGCAAAGTAAATCATAGAATGGTTAGATATTCTGATTTTATTAAAATGAACTTCAGTTTAGTTTGGAGAAGGGCAAAGTAAACAGGAAGTTGGGGTGGTACATAGCATATAATTGCAAGTTATCTTTAAACATCTAAAAAACTGTTGTGTAACAGAATTATTAAGATTTATTGTAGTGAGCCAGACATGCTAGCACAAGCTTGTAATCAGTTACTAAGGAGGCTGAGGCAGGAGGATTCCAAGTTCAAGGTCAACCTATCTTAAAATAGAAAATGGTAGGGATTTAGGTTAATGTTAAAGTATGGGGTGGGATGTGTGTCAACACACATTCTGTGTGGTTCCAAAAATTAATGATTAGGATAGCATGGCTCAAGATTAAGAAGTAGTTTTTATTATTTATTCTTAGTTGTAGTACTGGGGATTGAACCCAGGTTGCTGATTTCAGCTATATCCTCAGTCTTTTTTGTTTTGAGACAGGGCTTTACTAGCTTGATTAGGATGGCCTCAAATTTGGTGGTCCTGCCTCACTCAATCTCCCCAGTCAGAATTAGTCATATACCCCCATGCCCAGCATTAAGCAGTTTTTTTTTAAATATTTTTTTTTAGTTTTAGGTGCACACAATATCTTTATTTTTATGTCGTGCTAAGGTCGAACTCAGTGCCTCATGTGTACTAGGTGCACGCTCCACCACTTTAGCCACAACCCAGCCCCAAGCAGTTTTTTAAGATTATTGAAAAATGAAAAATTTGGGTTGTTTGGGAGGAGGAATAAGGCAATCTACTACTGCAGATGGTCAAAGTAAAGATTACCTGACAATCACTTTAGCTAAGGCAGTATTGACCAAACATTTCTGTTTCAGAGTCAGTTTTTTAAAAGTGTTGGGACCATCATAATTCTTAGCTTTTTGTTTAAATTAGTAAACAAAATAATTGGCTTGTGTATTGTGTGTATATATAAATATTTCATGAATATTTTCACACAAATTTGGAAAATTTTAGAATTGAGAATTTAGAAGTTGGGTTAGAGCTATAACTTAGAGCACTTGCTTAGCACATATGAGGCTCTGGGTTCAATCCTCCTCACCACATAAAAATAAGTAAATGTATAAAAAGAATGTAGAAGTCAAATTTAGCTTTATGGGGAAAAAATGCTACATTAGCTTTTTTTCTCTTTTTTCAATACAGACTAGATTGTCACAGACCAGATTTTGGAGCTGGCTTAGAAAACTGAATTACTGAATTTATGGTTAGATATGAAAATCAAAAATACTTTAGAACTTAGTCTTTGTTATAATTATCTTTCCAAAGTTTGAGCCAAAGGAGAAAATCTTAAAAATGAACTATAGAAAATTATATCCTGTTAATTAAATAACAAGTAGGCTCCATAACTGCATGGTGCCTTACCAGCTACTAATACTGCCTCCTAACTGTCAACCAATTTAGTTTTTCAAAACATGACCCATTCTTAAATTTGGGAATAGTAAATGGGCTAGAATCTTAGTGAAAGGTACAAAAATGGCTTTTTTGGGGAGGTGGGGGTGGTATTACCGGCGATTGAGTGCCTCTGCACTCAACCACTGAGCTACATCCCCAGCCTTTTTTGTATTTTATTTAGAGACAGGGTTTCGCTGAATTGCTTAGTGCCATGCTGTTGGTGAGGGTGGCTTTGAACTCTCAGTCTTCCTGACTCAGTCTCCCGAGCTGCTGGGATTACAGGTGTGGGCCACTGTGCCTGGCTACTGTCTGACTTATTGGTGAGAGTACAATAAAT